TTTTTGTAAATTTTCATTAACACGATTTATTGTCAACTGAATACTGATTAACTTTTGTTTGAAAAATTTGTTCATCAGTTTCGCGGAAATACCGGCAAAATCGTAGCGGCCGTTTCGCATACAGGGGTTTCAGAGACAAATATCAACTTTGTATACATTCAAAATTTCTCTTATTTTTGTTTTGTAATTTTCATTAGGTAGTTAAATAATGTTGGGTTGTTAATTATGTGAGGTGGTGGAACAGAAAGAAATCAAGGAGAGATATAAAAACACAACACAATATATTTTACACGTGGCGTAACGCTACGCCCGTACACGAGTGGACGAAAACGGAACGGCACCAGCACGCGTGCTCTCGGGGAAAAACAGTTGGCGCTCGATGGGTCTCCACACGCTGGCACTTCGAATACTTTAACAATTACTCAATGTAAATTTTCTTTTCTGTGTGTTTTACACGCATTTTATGCACATTTTTAAATGTAATTTTTAATAGGAGAAACGATTAGGAATGCTTGTCTTCGCGTTTAACCTGTTAACTGCGGAAGACGAGTTAATCAATACTTAGAACAAGGTAATTTATTTATGGAAGGATTGTTCATTTTTAATTGTACCGTTATGCCTGTGTTAAATATAAAACGCATCGTATTCACATTCGCAACAACCAAAATAATGTAACTGATTATAATTTTTCCTAATTTTTAATTAGAGACCAGAACGATTCAATCTCTGTTTGAGAGATGAACTCAGTTAACAGGTTAAAGATATTGATATTTTTATATCTCTTCGTAAGAGACTTTTTAGTGACAGGAAAGATTAGAAAAGTGAGATAATTGTATTTGTCAGACCTTCTTCTAAGAGAAATACAATATTATGACTGCGCACGGTGACACATAAATCACTTTACCATTTCAAAATTGAATAACGTTTTTTTTTATTACGTGTTTTAAAAAATTTTGTTGCAGATTTTGAAAAATATTTATACCATTTTTCAATAGTAAAGTGATTTATGAATCATCGTGCATATTCTACTTTGGATAGGAAGCTTTTCTATTTTGCTAGAACTTGTATGTTGGAGAAATTTATACATTTTTGCTGCTGAGGTATATTATGTGTACAGTATGAGATTGAAGGATTTTCAAAAAGAAAATATCTTAAGTTGATCGATTCAACGAATTTCGTTCCCAATTCATCTTTTGTTTCAATTATTAGAAACGATACTCGCTAATATTCACATTTATATGTATAATAAAGTACTAATGTTTATACGTTCTTTTTGTAATCCATAGCAGTATGACAACTTTCGATTTCTTTTTAAAGAGCAAGGTGGAGAACAACAATTTCTGTTGCGGCGGTGAACCGCAGAAGCCGCGCGAACCGGAAGTGCACAAAGTACCAGCACTGGGAAGCCCTGCGCTTCCTTGGTCAGGAATCGCGATAGTTGATTTAAAAATTAAAAATATATCTCTGAAGGATTTTAAAGGAAAATACTTGATACTGCTCTTCTACCCCTATGATTTTACATTTATCTGTCCCTCGGAAATGATACAATTTAGCGATCGTATAGAGGAGTTTAAAAAATCAGGTATACTATTTATTCCATGCCTCTTATGTTTAACACTGATCCAGAAATCAGTTTGAAGACATAAATAATCATAACATTATTAATTTTCCTTTAAGTAATTTACAGTTTTTATATTAAACATTTTCCCATTTCCTTCTCATTTCTTTTTTTATTCTAATATAATTATTATCAATAAATGCACAAAATATCGTCATTCTTCCTTTCCAACAACTTTGCTCCGAACTACAAATAGACTGCGAAGTGATAGCGATTTCCACGGACTCACAGTACTCTCATCTAGCGTGGATTATTACACCCCGGAAGCAGGGTGCCCTGGGTGAAATGAGAATTGCTGTTTTATCAGACAAAAGTCACAAAGTATCGAGACTATACGGAGTGCTCGATGAAAAGGAAGAAATATGCCTGAAGGGTTTATTTATCATCGACAAGAAACAATTGATTCGACACGTTGCAATTAGTAAGATATCACTCTCGCGTTCCGTTGACGAAACCCTGAGAATCGTGGAGGCTTGCAAATTCATAGACGAATACGGAGAGACTTGTCCAGCTGGTCCAAGGAAACAATTGAATCCTTTGAACCACAATCTACCTTATTTCAGTACATGACTGATCATATAGTGAAAAATTTTTTTTCAATTTTTCAAATATTGTATTTTTCTCCAATCATTGGATTTTTTTTGTTAATTTATTTTAAATTGTATAAAACTTTAGAGAAATGAACGGTGCTTGATTTTTTATAATGTCTTTTCCTTTGTATTGTAAGAGTAACGTTTTGTGGGAGAATAAAGAGTATAGTGATTCTTGAAATCAACTTACTTGTTGGACTAGATAGGAGATTTCATGGGGGTGGCAGTTGGTGTGGCTTCTCCTTGCATGGATAGACGTGCAGGTTTCTGAGCATGCACTATATGTATATTATTGCGGTACATTTAGTTAGACGTAAATAGTCCATAAATATCTTAGGTTAAATGCGTCAAAGTTCAAACATTACGAACGTAAATCTTTCTTGAAAATTCGTACGCCTGTGTTTACTTTTTTTTCTTTTCGTTTTCCTTGGCGCTATCTCTGATAAGGGGGTACTGTGACGACCGCCACGGGGGGTCACGCACTTAGGCCTGTCGACTCTTGGCCCTCGAGGCAAAGAATCGAGAGATGTTTTTCTAAACATCTCCGAGTTTCTTCGTCCTCGAGGACAAGAGTATTGCCTCGGCAATGCAGGCCCGCGCCTCCACTTCCTGGGACTTTCCCAG